GCATGCATACTAGCAAGCAGGGGGCATCGGGGTGGGGTGTGTAGGCTCGGGGCATCGGGGTTGGGGGGGGGGACATTCGAGTGGCAAGCACCACATGTGACAGGGGCGCGACAGGGGGTATGATAAAATATGACGGCCGCGTGCCTGGACTCACAATGATATCCTTCTCGTTGTCGGGCAGACCTTCCAGCAGAGCTGCACTCTCAGCCTCAGGTCGAAGTCCACCGCCACTCGCAACGGCTCCAGAGTCCTCTCACGCTTCAGGCCCCTGTTGGCTGTGGGGTACATGGGGCTGTGGTGGCGGCGGGCCCACCCCCGTGGAGGCAGGCGTGCCCCCGTCTCCCCCAGGGGGTCCGAGCTCCCACCTCCTGGCCACGAGGGCCCAGGCCTGTTAGTGGACTGCATGCCGCCTGTCTGTTTCTGAGCTCTGGATGGCGGCTCATCCACTGGCTCGGGCTTGCTCAGCAAGCCGGCAGTCGCCGGCTGGCGCCACACCTCTTGCTGGCTCTGCCCCCTGGCTGCCATAACGACAAGGGCAAGCGGATCATCAGTGCCCTTGTCTCCAGCACCATGCGCCGGGGTCTCCCAAACCACCTACGCTGTCTCTTGCCGGGGTCGTGAAATAGAGGGGGCAGGCTGGGGTAGGGATGGGAGCGGGGGGTGCTTGAAAGCTTCTGTCGGGCCTGCCGCAGGCAGATGACAAACCCGAACAACACCGCCAGAAGCATGCTCCGCCTTGACGTTCCCGGCCAGTGCATCGTTGAGCCAGGAATTCCCTGCTCGGGCCTGAGTGAGCGATTCCGCCTCCCCGAGCACGTTTCCGGGGTCCGCAAAACAGGAGCCCCATGCAGTGTCCTGCTGCATGCCCTCGGCAGCCTTCTTTTTAGCCTTGATGCGAGACACCAGCCGGGATAGCATCTCCAGGTCGCCCTCCAGGTCCCCCGCGTCAGCACCACTACCCTCCTCGGCGCACCTTTCCGCATTATCGCCCCCCACAACCACGTTCGAAGACTTCAGCCCGATCGACTGCTGCTCGGCCGGACGCATGTGCGGGATGGGCGCTCCAGCAAACTCCAGCGACCTCTTTCCGCCGGCTGATCTGCGATGACTCAGCAATGACCGTCTGGAAGCCCGTCGCTGCACCCTGAGATGCGTCATGCATGCGTCGGACAGGCTCGGAACGGAGAGGGGTACTTAGATTCACCATGACCATCAACAGCACACTGTCTTCGGTGCACTGGGATGGAATCGGGCTGGAGGGATGAAAATCGGGCGAGAGGGGAGCATTTAGAGAATGCCTGACCTCCTTGACCCCGCAACCCATATACGGCTGTGCATTGTCCGACACGGACGCCATGGGTGTCGGTACAGCAGAACAGACGGCGGGAGGCAGGTTTTGTGGCATAGATGACCTCAACCACCTCGTCGTCGTTGGATGCAGCTGGGGGATGCTCGGGCGCCGACTCGACCGCCGCCTTCGCACCACCGGCCGCGGTCGGCACAGGCAAGGTCTGACGCATCGCATATGGATTTACACAGCCGCGTCCGCCACCGCCCCCATGCCTAGTTACAAGTGATACGCTGCGTATCGGTTATTGTGGGTTGGCCATCCTGTCAGTCGCCGACTCTGCCGCCCACTCCTGCCGCGACCACCGCGCCGGCCGCGCCCACCGCGCCCACCACGACCTCCACGACCTCCACGACCACCACGCCCGCCACGCCCGCCGCGCAGCCACGTCCACCGCGCCCACCGCGCACATCAGTGGTGACTTCACATTCGGTCGGAGTAGTCGTTCCTGCAGCATGCACGTCACACGGTGTGTTAGTCTGGCGGACTATCTTCGACTCCGAATCGTCGCTTGAAGCGACCCACTCCAGGTCTTCGCTATCGTCGCCGCTGCCCGATGCAGACGACGAGCAGGTATCACCTCCTGATGATGAGCCGACCGTGCAAGATGATAGGAAACTTTCGAAGAGGGGTGCGTTGTAGCTCATTCATGCCTCAGGACCAACATTTGCGGAGTGTGGCCCACCGAATGCCATGTTCGATGATGCTTCAGGCTGCAAAGGCGCAGCTGGTTGTGCAAACCCCTCTGTCAGTCGATGTCCTACATCTGACATGTGGGTGGGGCTCCTTAGCGCTAGGCAAGCTTCATAATAAAACGTGACATGTGGGCAAACATAACAGCCAACACATACGAGAAGGAAATGCATGTCTCTCACATGTGGTTGCTATCTCGGGCTCGGCCTGTGTGGGCGTAACCGCCGGTCACGTCCCTCTTCGTCCTCGAATGTGTCTATTCTGTTCAGCAAGAACTGAGGTAGTGCTCTCGCCGTATGGTTGAGGTGTGACGTCGGACGCACCCGTCAGCTGAAGGCGCTGTGCTCGTGCAGATGGCTGAAGCGTGTGGCCAAGAGGCGTGGGAAATAGGCCACGGAACCCACGAACAAGGAGTCGCGTCATGCCGACTGCCTCCACCCAGTGGCGGTTAGGCCCACCAGAGCGCCGTGTATCTACGACGAAATCGTCGGATAGTAGAATGGCTGACAGCGCACCGTTGCGTCATCCTCTACCAGTGACTGACGATATGGCACGAGAAAATGAGGCTAAGTACGAGATTGTGCGAGCATCTGGCAAAGAGTACTCGTGACTCGCTCCTGTGCAAGAATTGTCAGGAGCCAGGAGTCAGGACCACGGCACCAAGAGGGCAGGGGTTTCAGACTCTGGTGGAAGCAAACTTCGCATAACGGTTTGAAAGCCGTCGATAAAGCCCAGTGACAGGCCCGGGATGCCGTCCACTAAAACATGCAACCAAGGGTTTCGACCCTACCCAGGCTTCACAAGCCTTATCGCCTGCAGGGCTAACAAGGGAAACACATCCACATGCTTTGACACGCTGGCATATCGGATTCTCATAGGATGCTACGTTACCGCAAACACATTTGTGTTACGGCCTACACAAATGATCTACACACACATCGCCTATATAAACGAGGTACACCCATCCCGTCTAGGGAAATGTGCATGTCATGTGCAATGTGAAACAAGTTGGGCTATTCTCGTAACACCGCCTGGAGCTAGCAGAAACCCCACCACAGATCCATCCAGAAAGCCACTTCTTCGATGTATTCATTCGCCTAGGTTTCTCGATGCTGGTAGACTAACACAAATGGCCAACAGCGGCATGCGCTCTGAAGTTGACGCGGCAACGGAGTCCTTCACAGACTTCGAGATGGCAAGCGGCGGGTGGCTCAAACTTACAAGGATGCGTGTCGCTACTCTATAGCCTGGGATGTTCCTCAGCCAGGACATTATAGAGTGGTGCGGAATGTAAGTGAGCGGGTGACCATGCCTCCCATCTTGATGTAGAGTGCAGCCTGTGATTTAATCCGCCTGTGTATGTCTTCGTCCGTCTTCGTGATACCATCCCGGCACGGCAGCATGATGCAGTATGAGTACAACCAAGAAGACAAGGTGTGGTTGTACGCCTCCACTCATCTGATGGGTATACTGAAGAACAACGAGCACGGCCCCATGCGGAACTACACGTATGGTGAAAACGTGCTAACTTTCTGCCACGTCTTAATCCTTTTTGTTGACAGGTATGTCCCGACCCCTAGTCCTTTCTCTAATTCACGTCGTTTGGCGCGGTTTACCGACCGTCAGTTCGCGTGGTTGCGCGCAGGGAGCACTGGAGTCTCATCATCCTTGAGAACGACGTTCTAGAAAGCGACGAGTACCTCCCACGCCCTTCCAGGATTCACCATACCGACTCTAAAAGAATGCATCGCGATTTCCTAGGACCGCTTCGCCGGTATGTTGGATGACCCGGTCCTCAATGACGCGGCCCCACACGCGGGAATCCCCATACAAGCTACATAATCTCATCCATCTGATGTCGCTGAGTACATGTGCAGGTTTCTCCGGTTTCAGTTGCTCGGATTGTGACCATGGGCGAGCGAGGCCCAGGCTGATGCCTGGTCGGCAGGCATAACCTTCCACGAGGCTGGAGTAAGTTGTGCCAGCCCACAAACGCCACGACATTGAGTCCTCATGCAAACCCATCCTCACACTGTCGTGCTCTGTGCCCCACCTCACACAGGCCACCATGCAGCCCAACGATCATGAGTGTGGGATATACGTGATCAAATATATGCAGGTCCTCATCGAATCGGGGTTCGGGGATTTGAAAGCAATCACACTGCATGGGGATTCCACAAAGTGGCGGGAGGAGGTGCAGGCTGATTTTCTACAGTGGTGTGCCCACACCACCAGCACTTCCCAACACGTGAATAGACGGATGCATGCCACTAGATACATTTTATGCCTCAGAGGCAAGTGTGAGTATACCTCAGAAAGCATTTTGTGTGATGCCTGAACGCATAATGTCTTGCATATAGCATATACATTGATTCCCAAAATGTGCAAGTTCAAACCCTACAGCCAATATCACATTACAACATCACGATAATCACCAAGCGATACACAACACATAAGACCCTCACAATTACATCATTACTGTACACTAGCTTTGTCGAGATGCATACGAAACGCACTCTCGTCTACACTTACACCCCTCGCCAGTGGTCAACCTCTCCAACCATTTCAAGAATCCATCGAGCGAAACCCTGGATGGTTCCCGAGCACGTCGCCTTCCGCCCGCCATGGACGACCCACTTACTGGTGACGTAGGGGAAAATGGAGCATGCTGGAGCGGGAAGCGCTTTCGACGCGCGGGAGCGGTAGCCCTTTCTCATGCTGATTTTAGCATGCATTGTTGTGGAAACACCTCTCCTTGGGGTAACACTTAAACCAGTGCGGAGCAGGTCTCTAGGTGTGTGTGTTGTAATGAACCAATTATTGCCACACCACACGTAAGGACAACCGAGATTTCCAAACGCGAGCGCCAGTGGTAAAACAATATATAGTCATCGAGGCGCTTGTAGTGGGGATAGATCCATGTTTGTTCGCCATTCACACAGCTACAGAACTCTGAGAGTGTTCACCCCCTTCGATCTCCCCCGCCATGGCTGTAGATTAGTAGACGCATCCACGTGAGCAGGAGCCGCCATGCCTCTAGAGACATGTGACTTCTGTGGGCGGCGGCTCAAAACATACCAGGGGATGCGCGGTCATCAGTCCAACAGCGGCAGATGTCTTGCAGAGCAGGAGCCACTAGCTAGTCTTGGTAGGCGTGTTGGGCGTTATTACAGACCACACACCGCACTGGTGGTGGTGGTTGTCGACGAACTGCATGCACGTCTCAACCCCGCTGTCCCAGATCGCCACATCCCAAACCGTGATGCAACCCTGCAGGAAGAGGTGGATGGGGATAATCTTGACGGCGCACCACCAAAACACCCACTTCCACCTAGCGAGGACGAAGCTAGCTTGGCGAACGCAGATGGCATTGATCTGCAAGTAGAGCTGTCGTCAGTAGCCCGCACTCACATGCTCACGAATGCCGCCATAACGGACATCATTCGCATGTTTAACAGCATGCCCTCTTCTCCCGAGGACCTCACCTCGTGGCGCTCGCATAGGGACCAGGAGGCGTTCGAGAGAGAGTATCTCGAGTTGGAGCATGAATGGGAAACCGTCGAGATAGAGCTCGCTGGGGATCTTGGAGTGCTAATTCTTTGACACAAGCCTATTGTGCAGGTATGTGCCCCGTTGCTGCAATGTCCGGTGTTGTGAGTATTCTGCCGGACACATCATGGATCTCTGTGAGTGGTTGTCTTTTACATAATTCCGACTCAGGTGTTCATGAGGATGTGGACACGCATGTCCGCCGTGGAGGGGTTTGCCACGGCCCTTGTCCACAACTTCGTCGATGGGGTGCGGCATTACTGCCGGGTGGTTGATTGTACATGGTTCCATGACGCGCATGTGAGTTGACTGTCTTGGGCTGCAAGGTACAATCCTGCGCTTTTCGTTTGTTCCTATGTGCGATTCTCCTCATTACGTGATGTTGTCTTACCACAGGATGCTGTAAAGGCAAAGGGAGCAGTCGCCGGTTGCATCGTTTTCAGCGACGTGACACACCTGTCCTTCAACGGGAGGCAGCTCGCGCACCCTATGCTTTTCGCGCTTGTGAACACGCCGGAAGAGGCAAGGTGGTTGGAGGGCAGGGCGGAGATGGTGGCCCTTCTGCCGCCGCTGCCGTCGGACCTGACGTCGGAGGGGAAGAACGCGATTTTCCAAGAGGTAGAGCGCATTGTCCTTGGCCCGCTGATGGTGCTCTCCACTCTGGAAAGGTCCAGAGCACACCTTCTTGCCACACACCCTTGGTGATCCCACCTCAGCCTGTATGCTTTACGCTCATGCCACGCATCCCCGCTTTTCCTATGTGTCGCCCAGAAGCTCCCTCCCATTGCCGTATGCCTGCTGTAGGTGTGGTTGTGTCGGTCAAAAGGATCAACCAGTTTGGTGCCTGAGGATGGCGGGCCATGTAAACCACCCTCGTCCCAACCCCACCCAATGTGCTGCAATGCATGAGCAGTGACGGGATCATGGTCGGGGAGCACGTTGGCCAGAAATAGAAGGTCTTCCCGCTGCTGTACTCCTATGTGTGCGACTACCCGGAATCGTGCAAAGTGTCATGCACCATGGCGGCAAACTCCTTCAAGCATGCTCCAAGTGCACGTTCAGCCGCTGGGAGCTGCGCGGTGTGACAGCGATGCCTCAGCCACGGACAGTGCAGCATCTGTGGCTGACCTACGAGTGCATGTCCCGCACATCACCACGGGAGCGGAACCGGCTTAGGCGGGCGTGGTCCACACACTTCGAGTGGGTGAGCTGTGCCCCTTCGCTAGTATTGCTGTACGACGCTTACTCATGCGCCAGTATTGATGCGTGGGATCCCGTGTTTGCAGTGTGCTCTGTGGGCATGGGGTTTCGTGGAGACAGAATGGGGGAATCTGTACGAGGCCATCGGCATTTGTCTGATGCATGTGGTCGACGAGGGGCTGTGGCTTCACATCATGCGGTACATCGCCGGCCTACTCATGCCCGATGAGCAACGGACTCTTCTCCGGTGAGTGGTCTAGCATGTGGTTGTCGAAGTGCGGACGTTCGTGCTTGATTGTCCCTCATTGAAAACGTCCTTATTCGCGCCACCCAACTCCGCTTGCACATGCCGACATTGCAGGTATTGTCGTGTGGTCCTCATGCACACCCTGCCTTCAGCCTTGCGCACCCCCGACCCATCGGCATACTTCAAGACAGTCGCCGCATGGGAGCACCGCGCAATGATGCAGATTCTGTCCTTGTTCTGCCACCTACCAGGCCATGAGGATGTGGGCAGAGTGGTGGTGATGTTTGCAGATTGGGTCGCAGCTTTTTCAGAGTGGAGAACCACACCGATGCATCACTAGATGCCTGTGTCGAGTCAACCGGGAGGTACATCATGGGCAGATTGGGCTGAGGGTCCGGTTGGGAGCATGCCACCCCAAACAGCTATGCTGTGTTCCTGGTGGTGGGGTACATGCCATGTGTTTTGATGGTTCTTCTCACATGATTTAAGGCTGTTGATGGGTGTTTGGTGCGAGCAGCCCGGTGGAGTCACTGGTGGAGGTCTTCCCCAACCAGAAGTCGCATTCCGAGTTGCTCAAGGTGCACTTGACAGCTCACATGGCCCCTACAATCAAAGCAAGGGGCATGCCAAAGGAGTACTCGTCCAATCTGTACGAGCACAAGCACAAGACCTTGATCAAGCAACCTGCCTGCAACACCAACTGGCGTGACGTTGGGCATGACATCGCCTTTCGGCAGGAGCGCCTGGCCGGTGTCAAGCTGATCGCGAGAGAGGAGGTTGTGGATCCGCAGTATGAGACTGCCATGCGCTTTGTGAGCATGGTACCGTTCGGGCTTGGTGGCATGTGAGGCATCGTGTTGTTCTTTGCCCTAAACCCCTGAGCCTGCGGTGGTGGTGAGTAGGGGACCTGGGACAGGGGGGTGGGGGGGAGGGTTAGCTATTGGGTGGTCAGGGTAGAGGGGCTGGCGGCTATTTGGGTCTGGCGAATCGTGTGGTACGATTGTGGACAACGTTTACGGGCTTGGGAGTGTTTCATAGTCGGCTCCCACACCCCGGGATCCTGCAATCACGGGTGAGATGCACCTTTGCGTTTCTGGTTGGTACACTGCATGTCTCAGACTATCTCTACCCATCCCAATGGTTTCTGGGATGCCTTCACTCGCACACTGAACACTGCATCTTGTGACCAGGCCCTCCTTCGGAACCTGCGTGTGTCGACGCGCACCAGCCGCCGCACGGTCATCTCGTCCCCGCATGACGACATGTGGTCGGCATACTGTGAGCATGCCGGTGCCGACGCTATGGAGCGGTTTGCAGCTGCGATGGGGTGGGCTGGCTACCTCGTGCCTGCAGTGCAGGTATGAGGGGGGATCCCCGCCTTGTTTGAGTGTTTGGGCCAGCGTGGTTGTTGGTGGTCGCTGTCCAGGGGCGGTTCGTATGAGCATGTCGGTATGGTTCGTCTCACTGTGTTCCCCCACCGTCCCTGCTGGCCCCACCCCCACCCACGACCCTTTGCTTGTGCCCTGGCTGGCAAGTTCACACGGCGCTTGCGATCCCTCCCCACGACTGCATGGATCGGGGTGACAGTGACCAGGTTGTGAAGGCGTCCCCGAAGCAGGCCTGGTTCAGCCACGTACGTATCGATGGGCAGCGCAAGGAGGAGTGGTTCGGGAGGTGCCTCATCCTATTCCACTTTGTGGACCCTCGGCAGCAGGTCGTCCGCCTGGCATTTGTCCAGTACTTCACTGAGCTGGAGGGGCTCTGTCCTTTCACCAGGTGCCGGCGTTTGCGTCCAACTGGGGGAGTTGATGCGTATGCGCTCGTGGACGTGGACAACATCCTCTCCCTTGCACACATTGTCCCAAGCTTCGGTGATACGGGATTGTACCTAGTGAACCGCTTCCTGTTCTAGGCACGTGTGCCCAAACAATCGTGACAGATGGACCCCACACACCCTCTTCCAGTCTATGTTAGTTTGGTGGTGTTTGCCGCTCTGGGCAAGCCACGTCGCATGTGTTTAGGATGGTGGTTGCTGCAAGTGCTTTACATCTCTGCTGCCTGTGTGTGCGCTAGAGGAGGTGGAATGAAACCAACGGAGCAGAGTATTGATAGCATACAGTGTGCTGGCAGTCGAAATTGGTTTTATGAAGTTTTGTAATTGCACGGCTGCAGGATTTGAACCCTCGTCTTCTGCGCCCAAGAAGCTCAGAATTATCCTTTGGGTTAGGGCTTGTTTAGGGACAGTTGCACAGTTACACGTGGGACAGCTTGGCTTAAAATGTCCTCGAACTGTCCCAAAGGTCACCTCGGGACCTTATAGGGGATACCGCGGTAGTGGGGTCAGGTTCAGGCTATTCCCTTTTTGGTGATGATAGTCAGGGTGTTTCCAGTGCACCTTGTTTGCACCAAGACTTTAGATTGTGAGCCATGTAAAATCCAGCACAGCATAGCGCCTACAACGGTTCACCTAGCACAATGGTCATCGATTCACATCATCCAGCACCATGGCCTAATCACTGCAACACACTACTAGGTGGAAGTCAGAGCACACTGACTAACTACCAGGGCGTCCAACGTCCCTTTCAAGTGCTTCCACTAGCAGGCCTAGCGTTGCCGGGGTCCGTCTCTTCATCAAGGTCCACAAACTGTGCCTGTCCAGCCACAGTTCCAGTGAAGTCTTTGAATGGGCGTCTTGGCTTCTCATTGCGGAAGATGGCCACAACGTCGAACCAGTCGACGTCATACTGCAGCAGGGAGCAGGGCATGAGGTGTCCAAGGCTGATGTTATCAATGCTCCCTTTCGCCTAAGTCTTGATGAGATTCTGCTTGCTGAACCCGCGCACGCACTCAACGGTGCTGAGCGGCAGCACCACCACAGCCTGCCACATGCGCATGATGTTGGGGTAGCCGCTGCCAGTTGTCATCTCCGAGGGTGTTGCTGAGGGTCTGGTGGAATTCCTCGTTGTGGTGCTGAGAGTGCATGGCTGATGTGAGCATGTACAGCTCACTCACAGCCCGATTGAAATAAAATACTGTTGAGTGGGGGACTGGTGTACAGAAAGACAAGAGCATTGTGGTTAATGTTTAAAGCATTGCATGCATCCACAGACAAAGAGACCTGCTTATACAGAGAAAGAGCCACAGCGGGCGAATATTTCACAGTGCTTACCCAGCTGCTTGCCGCGGAAGAGAGCGTGTAACTGCTTCATCCACCTTTTGAAGGCGGCTACATGCAGGATGTCGTCTGCAAGGTAAGTGGGGTCGAGGAACAGCTTAGTCCCCTCCAGGTTCTGCAGGTCCAGCAGGCGGCGATCAAGGTGGGCGCTGACACCTCGCACATAGCGGACCACCATCTCGTAGCACGCAGTCATGTCCCCCTCCGTCTCTTGGCTGGGAAGGCATCGCTTGCACAGAATGGAGACCTTTGTCACAAGGTTCCCTTCTACATTCATGCCCTCTGCCCATATTTGTGATTTGTTGTCCATGGCACCATGCTCCGCAATGAACTCAGGCCACTTGAGCTTCTCCCTGTGTGCGTAGACATGACCCCGGGGCGGTGTTGATGTAGCGGGACTTGATGACGTTCTTTGTCTGCTCTACCAGGTGCGCCACAAGCATCACATCCCCTTGCGCAAGTAGGCAGATTAATGCCAGCAAGGGCAGGCAGAAATGGATTAGTAGAGCCAGTAAGTGGGCTACAGCACATGATGTTTGTACACAGGGTCACATATTACCACACTTAAAGATAGGGCACAATAGCGGATACCAAACGCCACATAGGCATCATACCTGGCATTGCTGGAAGTGCGTGTTGAGCTGGTTCAGCTCGTCAAGAATGTCTACCAGAATGAAGCACGACAACCAGCGTCGCATGTGCAGAATGAAGCACGCAGTCCTGTCCACCTCGTAAAGCTCACTTCCATGCTCCCACAATATGATGATCACCGCTGGAAGAACCTCGACAAGCCGCGGCACTGCCTCGTCGCACGACAACCAGCAGATGAGATGGATGGAGAGTGCTCCAAGGAGTTGCAGCAGAAGATCAGATGCAAGCTGAGGAAGCGCTGGTGCCAAACATGGCTTCGGCCGAGGATGTCAGCCAGTGCACGTATAAGGTCCACCGTCTGCAGGTCAGGTATTGCAGCAGCCGTGTCCCTCGCCGCAAGCGCCTCTCTACAAGTAGCGGATACAACAGAGGGGTAAGTGAAACAAACAGTGATTACAATCTGAGGCATAACGCACAATGACTGCACTGCATAGCAATGTGCCAAGACAAGGCTCACCAGAGCGCGATGCAGTGCATGCTGACGAGGTGCTCGATCTGAGCATGAAGGCATGTGACCACACCGTTGCACTCGCCCGTCATCACAGAGGCACTGGCCGTCAAAATCCCACCGATCTTCTGCAGGTCTATGCTGGTGGAGTGTAGATAGTGGACTAGGGTCATCGTGTGGGAAGCTGCGTCAGTGCGCTTCACGCTCAGCAGGGTCACAAACTCCGTTACGATGCACGTGCCCTTGAAGGAGGCAGCGTAGAGAATCAGATGCTTGCCATGGATCCTGTCAGTAGATTCATCAACGTGGACGGCCACGTATGGAGAGGCTTAGATTTGGCATTGCTGTTGCTTCTGCAGGTGCCCAGAGATCGCTCTCCTTGAAGCCATATATGGGAGGGGGGGGACATACTGTAAGAAATAGAGTTGAGATGATTGATTAGGTAAGGAGCCCAAGGCTCTATAAGTACATGGCAAGGTGAGAGAGAATGGATGAAGGGGGAATTGGAGGGAATCCCCATTGGGATCTCCGGAATCTCCAATTGGGTAATTGGAGATTGTGGGGATCACAATTGGGTGAGGTTGGGATTTGTGAGTACACCCCAACCCACTAGAACATTCACAACCTAAACTAGGATATAAAAGTACAAATACAAAAGTGGTATTTGCAGTCTATTTCTAACACATACCACGAGTAGTCAGCAATCAGAAGTAACATCTCTGGGTACAACATCCAGTTGACAGGGTTTCGGGTTTAAAACCACAGGCTAGAATAGCACACCTGCGGAGCTCTTGAAAATATGTTTTGTTTATGGGCAGATCTTTTGGTACATTTTCTATCACGAAATCGTATGGGGAGGCGAAATTGTATGTAATGCGACGTAGCATTGTTACGTTATTGGTGCGCAACTTTGATTTGGCATCAGATGCTCGCCTCATCAAGTTGCGACTGACTGCTCACACAGCTCAGTTTTTTCAAGAGCTCCATGGGTGTGCAATAGGTTTTGAACCCGAGGTTAACTTGGGTCGCATTTCGCGGAACCCATGTGGCTGTTCGGCACACAAGTTGCACAGTTTACCTTCACCTTAGTCGCGAGTCGCGGTCAAGGGGACTTCGTAGTGTGAGCCTGAACACGTGCACCGAATACTCCCGAGGTACAGTAGTTTTTTTTCGTTTCACCAAGTTGGCGAAAAGTCATTTGAATCGCGCGCGCGTTTCCCGCCTCGTCGCACACGCGTCAAATCGGCGCCACTGCGTTTCTATCATTGTTCAGCTGCCCAAAAACGCACCCCGCAAAATCGTACTGGGAACCCGTTTTTTTTCAAAAGAACTATTTTCAAGAACGGCGCTCTTGAAGCCCCCCCAATGCTATTTTAGCCTGTGGTTTTAAGGTTTAGGGAAGAGATGGCTGTTGAATGCAAACAACATGCCGTAGCCGCCGCCAGGAGAGAGATCTAGCATGCCTTCTGCCAGTGTGAGAGTGCCATCTTCCGCGCCCTCTCAGTCTCCTTCTCCTCCGCCTCGGGCACACTCTTGTGAGCCTGTGTTCCAATGTGGCTCCGAATGCAGCCCTGCTGAAGTTCCCGGCCACCCTCGCCAAAAATTCCATAGTTGGTGTTGGCGGTTGGATCGGCGTGCTTCAGGCATGTGGCGCACTTCAGCGTTGGTCGTCCATTCTTCATACCGTGCAATTGCAGCCAGGGAAAACGCATTGACCAATCATTGCCGAAGCGACTCTTGATAACGGCATACTCTGCCTTTGCAACGGAGGTTGGGAGGGGAGAGATAGGCAGCTCAGCGCCACGGGTGGGTCGGGAAGGATGAGGACTAGGTGGAAGACGAGGAGGCAGAGCTCCCCAGAGCCGTTGCTGGGTCCAATGCGACGGAGAAAGCAGGGCGGATAAATGCAGGTCGGGAGGAACTGTCAACCTCCTCAGAACCCGAGAGTGCCTCCAGTTCCAAACCACCATGCGTAGGGGAAAATGCAGGGAGGAGGTGTGTGAGTGTGTCTGGTACAGGCGGCGGTAGAGGGCTCTTGCGAGCTAGGTACATACGAGCTATTGGTCACGGTCCTACAGGGAATACGCCAAGGATAGAAAGGACGTTACAAGGGCCATCACTACCATCGTCGCCCTCGCTGTCCTCGGGGACGGCCATGCTAACAAGGTGGACTTTCAGAGATGGAGCGGGATGAAGAAGTGAGAAGTGGAGCTGTTGTTTTCTAACAGCATGGGTGAGATGAGGAAAGGATGGATGGAGGGGATGAGGGTTCATCGTCCCCCTCCTCTGAACTATGCGACAAGCCGCAAGCCCTAAAGAACCGTCCTTGTGATGTGGTCATTGCTGCGCTTGGGCATGCGGCTACCAGCTATTGGCCGAGGCTGCACAATGTTCTAGCAGAGTATGCGCTGTCACCTCTGTGGTCGTGTTGCAGGCAGTATTGCTGCCACTGCTGGACGTGTCCGCGAACTTACACGAGAAAATATACGCGCCAACACGGCACTTCCGAGGTCGGTGGGCGGGGCTGCCTGAACGAAACCCCCACGTGGCGGCTTCGAGGTTTCTGTTTCAGGGTGTTTTTTTGCACACCCTGAATGGTAAGGGTTGGGGGGAAAAATCCTTGCTACAGCAGGGTAAAACGAAACCTTACAGTTTTTACAAGGTCGCATAAAAAATGGCCTTACATAATCAAGGTAATCTCGGAAAAGCGGCCGCAGGCAAGGGTAATCAGGGTGAAATACCCTTCAAATCCTGGCCTTTATTTTGGCCCATCAATGTGTAGAGAATGTGCCAGGTGAATGGAGAGTGCAAGTTTCTGATGAGTTGCTCAGTGTTTCATACCATGACTCAATGTGGTCACGATTCACGAATGGCAGTTTAATTGCATTTTCTGTATGTCACGTGTTTGAGCATGTGGATTTATGAAATATAGCTCCTTATGATAGTGTTGGAAGGAGTTTAGAAGCTAGCTAGGCGTGAGAAATGGCGAGAGGTTTTAGCTAGGGAGAAAAGAGTGACGAGAGAAAAGGGGAATTGGACTAGACGAGAGAGAGATACAAGAAGGGTGTTGTACCCTCTACAGTAAGATCCAGTAATTTGTACGACACCTAACTCTCAGAAGTTAGGACACTAGCTTCTTGAACTAGGAAGCTAGGATTCTAGGAAAGGACGCCATGGAATGGCGGGAGGAAATTAGATCTAGGAACGTGAGGAGAAAAGTGTCGAGAAAGAAGAGATTTGATTAGGAAGAGAGAGTGGTACAAGGAGGGGATTGTACCCTCTACAGAAAGGTTCAGTAACAACTACCAAGCCTATCAATTATATGTAACTTATATAATATTAACACACCCCCTAGGCTTGGTAGTCACACACCCACCCAACACACCACACACCCCCGACACCCTTACACCCCCATGCTCGTAAGCAGCCGGGCATCTACCCCTCGTGCGTGACGTGGTGACATCCCCACCCGCCGAGAGGCAGCAAAGGCAACGGCCGCGGCTGAGGGCTCTCGGCGGTGTGTCACGGCCCGGCGACGACCAGGTAGGAGTCAGCAGCTGCAACAGGAGCAGGAGGAGATGCAGGGGGAAGGGAGAATTGGGGGGGGGCGGTGGTGAGTCTTCAGCGACGCGCCATAAATGGCGCGGCGCTTACTGGCGGGAGGACGGCGTCCTGAGTGACGCCCGTGGCTGGCGAGCGGGCGGCAGGTCCGGCGGCGCCAACGACGTCGCTTGGCCGGCCGCAGACGGAAGACGCCGCCGCCGCAGCATTATGACATCGCCACAGTGCGGCGTCAATGCCACGGCGGGACGTCGACGCCGTGCTGACAGCACGCGCTGGGGCCGCGACGGCAGCGCCACGACGACGGTTACACATGGCCGCGACGGCGGCCCGGCAACAATGAGGGAAAGGCACGGCGGAAGCGTAGGGAGCGGGCCTGGTGGAAACGACCGGCTCTGATACCATCTCAGAACTTAGGACACTAGCTTCTTGAACTAGGAAGCTAGGATACTAGGAAAGGACGCCATGGAATGGCGGGAGGAAATTAGATCTAGGAACGTGAGGAGAAAGGTGTCGAGAAAGAAGAGATTCGATTAGGAAGAGAGAGTGGTACGAGGGGATTGTACCCTCTACAGAAAGGTTCAGTAACAACTACCAAGCCTATCAATTATATATAACTTATATAATCTTAACACTAACACCTACCAACCCTACACAAATATATATGAATAATATATAAGTTGACAGATAGGCCATGCCTCGTAATGC